TGATCCGGTCGTGGGGCCTGAACTCTGGGCCTGGGTGCTGTCCCTCAGCTCTTGAGCCACAACACCACTTCCGGCTTTTTTCTTTTTTTTTTTGCTTATGTGGTGCTGAGGAATCGAACCCAGGGCCTCATGCATGCAAGGCAAGCGCTCTACCACTGAGCCACCTTCCCAGCCCCTCAAAAACACTTTTAACTGTTGCTTTGAACTATTAACTGCACCTTTAAAAAAAACTTTGTGATTTTAAAAGGAAACAAATCTACTTGCTGTTAGTTACTATTTTACATATACCAGGCTGGAAGTAAATGTGCAGTGAATTAAATTGAATATTGATAATTCATTGAAAAATCATCAAAAAGAGCAGATCCCTTTCATATAAGAACACCTGGATTCAAATATCATGTTTAATCCTATATTTTACCACTGAACAAAGTAAGAATTACAGGTACATTATTATGCCCACTTGAAGAACAACTAGGTTGTCAGAGGATTAAAAAAAATAGGATTTCCCTTATTATTTAAAACAGGGATGGGATGGAAGAGGTGACGTTAATCAAGATGCATTATACTTATAAATTGCTATTTTGAATTGAAACTCCTTTATATAGTTACTTAATAAGATTTAAAGCAAACAAACAAAAATACCCAAAAGAGGAATGGGCAAACTTCATCTGCAAAGGGCTGTGTTTTAGACTCTGTGAACCATTTGGTATCTGACAGTGTTCTCAGTTACAGTAGCCTAAAAGAGCCATAGGTAATTCATCAACAAGTCAGGATGACCAATAATTAATTCTAGTAACAGGCAATAGGTTGCATTTGGCCTGGAGGTTTTAGTTTGCTGACCCCTGCTGGAGAAAGAGAGCCAAGAAACAAAGCTTTTTAGTGTTAGTTGATTTTTTCATTATTTAGAATGGTGAGCAGTTGAACTGCTGTTCTCTCCATTTCTTTAATGTTCCTTTTGAGACATTTTGCTGTTGAGTCTTAAATGCAATTTTTTCCTTCACTGTCTTAATCACTTGAAACTAGTGGAGTATGTTACAAATCTTGTGTTGTCTATTTTATTTTTTGGTTTAGCACAATCCTTGTCTTACACACACACACACACACACACACACACATTTGCATATATATTATACATTCTAGAAGTTTATTTTTAAGGCTAGATAACATTGTCTTTCCCCCATAATCACCTCTTACTTTTATCCAGGATTAGTTTTTGTCATATACTGCAATTATTTCTTACATATTATCCTTTCCTTGACATATTAAGGACTTCTTTGGGGGGTGATCAGACTGATTATAGAGCCCAGGACCTCAGGTTCACCAGGCAAGCACTCAATACCAAGCTATATCTCCAACTTGATATTAAGGAATTTTTCTCCTCTTCCTCCTCCTCCTCTTCCTCCCTTCCTCCCTCCCTCCCTTTCTCCCTTTCTCCCTCCTTCCCTTCCTTTCTCCCTCCCTCCCTCCATCCCTCCCTCCCTTGCTCCCTAGCTCTCTCTCTCTCTCTTTCTGTGTGTGTGTGTGTGTGTGTGTCTGTGTGTGTGTGTTGGTACTGGAGCTTGAACTCAGGGCTTCCTACTCTTGCTTACCTTTTATGTTCAATACTGGCACTTTGTTGCTTGAACCACATCTCCATTCTTGGATTTTTGGTGGCTATTTGGAGATAAGAGTCTCATTGACTTTTCTTGCCAGGGCTGGCTTCCAGCAGTGGTCTTCAGCTCTCAGTCTTCTGAGTAGGTGTGAGCCATTCAGCGCCCCCTCCCCAACAAAAAAATATTCTGAATTGCTAATAACTTGTTTGTGATTGTTGTTTTTTCTGATTTTTTTTTTTGCTTCTCGAGAAACATCCATTGTCTCTGTTTCCTCCTATAGTTATCCCCTCTGATTTATCCATTGCCTTTCCCTCCCCATCTTTGAGCTTCAGATCACTTTCTTTCCCTGCCCATTCTATTTCTCCTTTCTTGACCTCCTCTCTGTTCTCCCAACCTGCTAATCCCTGGAACACTACCCAGCTGGGGCTCGCTCTTTCACTTGGATAGTTCCATTTAGCCAGAACTCCTCCTCCTTATGATACACTTCCTCCTTTTTAAAGGGCTGACAAACAGCCTTCCTTTTCTAAGTCTGTAACTCTGGCTTGGGGTGGTGAGATAATATGTAACAGTTGGGGGAAAAAAGCAGGTGATTTCCAATTCTGTCTGGAATTGTACCATTCTGTAGGCTCCGTGGGCAGCAGCTCAATGCCATTTTCCATGTCAGTTCAACTATCATTTCTTTTAATTTGTCATTAGGCTTTGCACTCAGACTCCATTTGCTTTTGTTTACTGTTCACAGAAGCTGCAACATTCGTGCAGAAATAATTATGGACTTGGCCTGGTAGGAGGAAGAAGAGAAAAGGGAAAGAGAAAACCCTTCTGTCATTTAACTCTTTAGGCCACCTGACTACTAGGTCTCTCCTCAGCTCAAAGAGCAGTTTTAAAGGATGCTGTAGTCTGTTCATTTTGGAATCTTCGCTTTTTCCCCCTTCTGATAACTAAGTATTTTGGCTTAGTCTTTTGAGCACACAGTTAGGTGTAGTGAAATAATAAGACATAAGAGGGAAAATCTCTTCCGTTTGTCTTGGTGTTTGATAATGTATGCGGCCTCTCTGGGTGGTTTAAGCGGTTTAGGTGCATGCTATGAAAAGGGAGCTTTTAATGACAAAACTAATGTGATTATCTCAGTGAGTGTGAGAGGGGGTATTGAAGCCCTAGAGAAAGAAAATCTGTTAGAAAAGCTGAATGTATCTGCTTAATCCTTTCTCTAATGTGGATGGGCCATGCTCTCTGAGAGGAGATTGGTCTTTTTTTTTTTTTTTTTAACCTATCTTCTTTCCTTCCTCTTAAATTTTTTTTTCTTTACTCTCCTTTTCTTCCTTTTATTCACATGCTTATCTTCCTAGGTATGGACACTTAAAAATTTAAACAAGTCATTATCTTTACTTTCTTGGTGTACATGGGGTCAAAGGACAGACCTAAATATTTGAGTGTAGATCAAATGAGTTTGGCTAGAAGGTTGTGTAAATGGTCTATTTCTGTACCATTTCTGTATTCTTTAATAAAAACTAGAATAATTAGAGTATACTTCTCATATACTTTATAAATGTTTCCTGAGTGCTTACTCTTTTTATTGTCAAGGTAATATAAAGAGGGGTTACAGTTACATAAGTAAGGTAATAAGTACATTTCTTGTTAAACTTGTTACTCCTTCCCTCATTTTTTCTCCTACTTTCCCTCCCTCAACCCCCCCCCCCAAGTTGTACAGATCATTTCCAACATATTGTCTTACGTATGTCACTGTTGCATTGGTTCCCTCTTGTCCTTTGTCTCATCATTCTGTTGTTCCCTTTCTCTTCCCTAATTCAAATAAATGTATATACAATACCAGGGTACCAGAATCAAATACAGTGACAATAGGGGGAAGAACATACAAAAGAAACAAAAATCATACAGTACATTAAAAACAATAACAACAAAGAAGAACCTCGTGTTCACTTTTATATTAAGAAATAAAAAATGAGCGGGGCGCCTGTGGCTCATGCCTCTAATCCTAGCTACTCAAGAGGCTGAGACCTGAGGATCGTGGTTCAAAGCCAGCCCGGGCAGGAACATCTGTGGGACTCTTATCTCCAATAAACCACTAGAAAACCGGAAGTGGCACTGTGGCTCAAGCGGTAGAGCGCTCTCCTTGAGCTGAAGAGCTGAGGGACAGCACCTAAGCCCAGGGTTCAAGCCCCACGACTGACAAAAAACCAACAACAACTTATTTCTTTTGAACAAGTAATTCTCCTAAGAATGTATCTTGAATTAGGAATGATGAATATGTGTATATAATTATATACATACATATATGTACACATATATGTGTGTGTACATGTGCATATATACATTTATATATGTATTTGTGAATCTTTACATTTGTATACATATGTATAAATACAAATAGCCCTAGAGATTTTTTTGAGCTTTATTTATAATACTGAAATATTGAGAATGATCCAGATGAGTGGATTGCTTTACCTGCTTGTTCCTCAGCTCCTTATCCTGGCAACTCTACGTTTTTGTCCTGTTGGTCAATGTCCTTTTCAGAACCTGACCCAGTCCTCATGGGGATCGGACATTACAAGGACAGTAGAGCCAGGATTTCCTTTAATCTAGGCATGGAGTTTCTATCTGCAGAGGCCAAGTTTCTGACCGTGATGTTCTGGGGCTGCTGAAACCCAAGTACTGTCAGCTGGTGCCGGTCTCCAGCCATGCTTGTGTCTTCTCAGGAATGATGGTAACTGCTCTTTACAGAGAAGGCTATTCATGGGACTCCTTTTCTTTGCCTGACAGAGGCTCAGTGTTCCAGCTCTAAGCGGGGATCTAATGCCAGCATGTGAGTCACACTCACTTGCTACTGTTCTTTTTCCAGAGTCGTAGGCACTTGTTACATATCAGTACTTCCTTTCTCCTGCCCAGCCAGCACTGTGACCCTGCCTCTTACACCATGCTGTGCTCAGACATAATGCTCTGCATTCCATTTATCTAATCTGTAGTTCTGTACCGCATTCGGAAAGAGCTGAGTCTGCTGTTGTTGTCCAGAGAGAGGAAAGAATACCAATCAGCTCTTGGCAATCGTATAATGCAGCCAGTGACCGGTCCTCATCTTTCATATTGTCTTGAGTATTTCTGATGGCTTTATTGCTTAGGAACTTTCTGAGAAAAGTGCTATTCAAATGTGGGGTAGTTTTTTTTAAAATTTACTATGAATAAGCAAGAGTTTTCACAATACTGAAACACTGTTTTGACTTTCAGTTTTTCTTAACCTGCCAATTCCTTTTTGTTTTAACAGTAATAGATGGGCTCTCCATTTGGCTAAATCCTATTTCTTCTTGCAGATGCCGAACATTGGTTGGGCCATATGATAATGGCCTCACAGTTAACTTTTTTTTTGGGGGGGGTCCGCTCCTGAGGCCTGAACTCTGGGCCAGGGTGCTGTCCCTCAGCTCTTCAGCTCAAGGCTAGCGCTCTTCCACTTGAGCTACAGTGCCACTTCCGGCTTTTTTTCTTTTTGCTTATGTGGTGCTGAAGGAATTGAACCCAGGGCCTCATGCATGCAAGGCAAGCGCTCTACCACTGAGCCACCTTCCCAGCCCCACAGTTAACTTTTTTTAAAAGGTGTATCCAGTTGTTTGGATATCCTATTTTCTGATTTTACTCACACTTAGCATTACCAAAAACTTATTATCTTGGGAAATCAGTTTGCAGTTGAGGTTGTTAAAGGCTCTGTGAAATTCTACTGTCAAAACTTCACATTTGCTAAAATAACATCATAAGATTTGTAAAATGATGACTAAGAAGATTTTTTTTCACAAAGTACCAATTAACATTGCATAGAATGTTAATTGTCATGTTATGCAGAATAGAGGCACCAGCTTTTCCCCAGTTCATTTCCTCTGTTCTTTCAACTTTCCTCTTTTATCCTTTTTACAGTTTTTGTTGGATTTCATTATGTTATTTCATTCATTTATTGTATTGTACTTTGAACATATCCATTCTCCCATCCTTTCTTTTCTCCCGCCCCTAAACATTTGAGACCATGTCTCAAATGATTTAGCCTTTAAATCATGGCCCTGCTTGTCATGCTTTTATCCGTCTTTTTTTTTTTTTGGGTCCGGTCGTGGGGCCTGAACTCTGGGTCTGGGTGCTGTCCCTCAGCTCTTCCACTTGAGCCACAGTGCTACTTCCAGCTTTTTTCTTTTTTCTTATGTGGTGTTGAGGAATCGAACCCAGGGCTTCAGGCTTGCAAGGCAAGCGCTCTACCACTGAGCCACCTTCCCAGCTCCTATCCATCTTATTTTTAAAAATGCATTTCAAAGTAAGTTACAGGCATTTCCTTAAAGAATTAACCTTCAATGTCATCAACTAGTGTTCAATATTTGTTTATGATTCTTACATTTCATTTAGTATTGACTATGATTTTCACAGCTAGAATTTCAGGCACTGATATATAGGCTAGTGATGGAAATACATGGGAGTTGGGAAACAGCAGAATATGCTTCTGATCATATCATAGATGGTGGAACTTAATGTAGTAATTAGCTCTGGAAGAAACTTTATAAAGTTTGCATTTTTTTGTAAAAAATGTAGTCCTTCATTCAGTAAACAGTTGGCAGACGCCATGCTCTGTGTTGGGGGAGACTTTCTGGAATTCACTGAGGTTCTAATAGAAATATGATCAGGGTCTAGTGGAAGGGATATCAGAAGGTGGTGGCTTAATTCTTCTAAGCTGGGAAGCAGGCAAGGATGACCCCAGAGAGCAGAGAGTATTTAAGTGGAGTATCTTAAAACTTGGAATGGTAAGTGGAGGGAAATTTGCATACTGTGTGAATAACTTCGGTTCACTTCTGTAGCCTGGGAAGGTGTTAAGAAATTTATTCTTGTCAGGAGCCCATGGTTTACACTTGTAATCCTAGCTATTCAGAAGGCTAAAAGCTGAGGATCAAGGTTTGAGACTACCCTAGGCAGTAAAGCCTGTCAGACTCTTATCTTCAGTTAACCCCCGCCCCCCGAAAAAAAAAGCCAGAAATGGAGCTGTGGCTCAAATGTTAGAGTGCTAGCCTTGAACAAAAAAATCTCAGGGACAGTGTTCAGGCCTAAGTTCAAGCCCCAGAACTAGCCTGTGTACATGTGCATGTGTGCGTGAGCACAAGTACACACACACACACACACACACACACACACACACACACACACCAGATTTATTCTTGTTGGGAGGGCTTATACTTGAGACATTTTTAAGAAATGTAGTTAGATGTTTTAAAAAATTATGTTTCGTATTTGGGTTATTAAGCTGTAATTAAAATTATTTATATTTATGTTACTATTTTTAAGTGATTATACAAAAGGGTTCCTATTCTCCATATTTAAACTGTAATTTTAAATTTCTATTCGAACTCTTCTCTTGTTTATCTCTCCAAAATGACAGGAAGTGTGCCAATATTTCAAAGAACCTGATACCTCTGAATCACAGCTGGTAGAGAATGTTTTCCAAGCTTTGAATATATATTACAATTATACAGGCCAAACAAAATGCTTGAATATTTCAGAAACAACAACTAGCAATCTGGGAACCCTGGGTTGGGGCTATCAGGTAAGCACGTATGATTTCCTTGAGCAGAATTTGTTTTTCACTAATAAAGTTGTGCTATAACAAAAACTAGACAAGATTCTGTCACATAACCGAGATCCAAGTCTGTTATACTTGAGAGCAGGAACAAATTCCTTTCTTCCCTCCCTCCCTTCTTTCTTTTCCTTTCCTTTCCTTTCTTCCTTCTTTCTTTCCTTCCTTCCTTCCTTCCTTCCTTCCTTCCATCTTTCCTTCTTTGCCTCCTTCCTTCCCTCCTTCCCTCCCTCCCTCCCTCCCTCCCTCTCTCCTTCCCCAAATTCTTCCTTCTCTCCTTCCTTCTTTCATTTCTTTCTTCCCTGTTCCTTCCTTCTTCCCCTCCTTCCATCCCTTTCTCCCTCCCTGTATATGATCATCATCAAATTTACAGCAAGTGTTAATCATCTTTTCTATGCCTCACATATACAAATATAAATAATTTGTAATCTTTCTTTCAAATATAGCTCATGAGAAAGATAGATGAAGTGAACTAACATTGTAATAAATCTTTCTTCGTCCTCTATGGCAGCATTATATGGACACGGGGAGGCAGGAACGTCTCATTGAGTGAGGCTTATTCCTTTAGGGACACAATAAGACTAGTAGTGATAATAGCGCTTTATTTCCAGAGTTGTCCTGAGGATTAAATACTATATTAATGTTAAAGAAGGTCATTGGCAAAAAATAGAACACATAATTATAACTTCTAACATGTCTTAGCCAAACCTTTCTTTGAATAAAAAGGAGTTTCTGGCATATCAGTAAATAAGGACTGGAGAGGTCTGTCTCTGAAGGTCAGTTGCCTGATTTCAAGCCCCATCTTTGCCTTGTGTTCTTTTTCACTTGTCTCTTGGTTTGCTTTTTAAGTCCTGTACAGAAATGGTCATGCCTTTTTGTACTAATGGTATTGAAGACATGTTTGAGCCTCAGTCATGGGACTTTAAGAAGTTTTCAAATGAATGCTACAAACAGTGGGGTGTGAGGCCTCGGCCCTCCTGGATTGGTACCGTGTATGGAGGCAAACACATCAGCTCACACACCAACATTGTCTTCAGGTGAGTTTTGGCTAGGATTGCTAGAAGATAGAACTAGTCTAGTGTTGGGTAATAACAGAATATACAATACAGCAGTGGTGCCCATTGAGTTTTCTGCTGTTACTATAATGCTTAAAGCTTAAAAAAAAGGCAAAAAAATTAAAATAGTTTTTTCAACTACTGCAGTACAAAATGAAGCATCACCTTTTGTTCTTATTATATATTTTAAATATTTATTATACTTTCTTATTTTTTGTGCGGGTACTAAACTTAGGGTCTGCTCACTGTCCCTGAGCTGTTTTTGCTCAAGGCTAGAATTCTACCATTTGAGCCCACAGCTCCACTTCTGGCTTTTCAGTAGTTAAGTGGAGATAAGAGTCTCACAGACTTTCCTGCCCAGGTTGACTTAGAACTGTGATTCTCAGATCTCTGCCTTCCAAGTAGCTGGGATTACAGGCATGATCCACTGACACCTGACCTAACCCAGAATTTTGGGCTGTTTAGACATAGCAGTGTCCAAGGTCATTTGTTTTCCTCTTCTAGGAAGTATTTTGTCAGTTTGCTTGACTTCAGGAGCTTATCTCATGGAGTGATTATAAGGAGTTCTACCATTCTGAATTTTAAAGTCACACCTCCTTGCTTTGACCCTACTGTGTAAAGTTTAAGTGAACTTAAATGACATTTTCAATCTTTGTATGAGATTTCAAAATGTGAGTTTTGGCCAAATACATTTTCCTGTCTCATTGGATATAACAATTACAGGTAGATACAGTAATTACCCATATAACCTTTTATAGCACCTATAACCTTTTATATAGTCAGAATCATCATCATCATGTTTATGGGAAAAGGGGGTAGAATATGTGAGAAAAGTTTCAGGAATAAGACTAGAAGTCAGTAGATAGACATTATAGTTTAGTAGAAGTAACAATGCTCTGTAAGATCTGTGCAAAGGTATAATGGTCTGTCTTCATTCAAATTAAGCTTTTTGATCCTTAGTTTTACCATCTGTAAAATGATAATAAGAATACCACTCACTTCATAAAGTTGCTGTGATGTTTGAAAGAGTTAATCTGTTGCCACGCATGGTAACTCATGCCTGTAATCCTAGCTACTCAGGAGGCTGAGATCAGAGGTTGGTAGGACAAAGCAGAGATGACTGTAAGACCCCCATATCCACTTAACCATCACAAAGCCAGACTAGAGGCTTGACTCAAGTAGTAGAGTATCAGTCATCAGCAAGCAAGTGGAGTGAGAGTTCAAGGCCATGAATTCAAGCCATAGTACCAGCACAACACAACATTACACAACAGCAAAACAAAACACAACATTAACCCAATAATGTACTAGGCCCAGACCTGGCAAATATATATGCTCAAAATTATTGGTTGAATAAATAAGAAGTGTACTTACCACCTTGCACTTTATGTTTTAGTTGCAGGAAACTACAGACTTACTCTGAGTATCCTTTTTCTTTCTCTTTTTCTCTATGACTTAAGTCTCAGGCCTCCAAGAAATCTTTGACCCTTTCAGGAAAGATAGATTCTCACTGTGGCCTCAGCCCTGCTAGGCGCTCAGACTACCTCGTACCATTTATTAACATCTGCTACCTGATTAGGGCACAGTAGATGCCCAATAAATGCATAGAATAGGATGAGGAATGAAGTTCCCAGTACAGGAAGTCTTTGAAGCCTGTGAAAGTTGAATTGGTAGGCTGGTGTGAAGATGCTTGTTTGTCTTTCTGTACTGACAAGTCAAATTTTCCAAAGAAATCTTTTGCTACAGGTTAATAGTAGGGAAAAGCCAACGTGGAAAGCTATTAGGAAGTTCATAGTTCCACTTTCCTGAAGAAAGTGCACTCCCAAGGCAAAAGAACAGCCTCACGTGTCTTGTTGTTAGTGCTCTGATAGGAGCCGCCTGAGGAACCACATGTCAAGTAGCTCTGCGTTCAGGTGCCTTTCTTCAGCTTCCCTTGCACAAGTCTGTATGCTACTGCTGTTTTGATTAGACAGTTTCACTCTGTAATTGTCAGAGTGATGTGTCAGTTAAGATTTGTCTCATAAAACCAGATGTAATCATACAGACCTGGAATCCAAGCATCCTGAGGCTGAGGCAAGAGGGTTATGTATCAGGCCCGTTTGGACTATATAATAGGAATTTGTCTCTAAACTCCTTCCCTCCCCCCCCCCCCCGCAAGAAAAAAGTAAAAAATAAAGAAATTGCTACTTAAGGTTTTGAAGAACTTGATGGTTTTCTGCTTCTTCTGTGAATTAGCTACCTTGGGCAAATTGCCAATTTATGTAATTTGGATAGGATCATGGTTACCTAACTGAGTCATTTCTGGAATGAATGGATTGTCATGGAAGTAAACACCACTACAGCAGAGATTTTTCTCTGTTTTGTTCTTGGCTGAATCCCCGGTGCCCAATGAGCGCCTGAACCTCCCCCCACCCCCAAGCACTCGGTAAACATTTATTTGTTGGATAAATGAGGCCTTAATAATTAGTAGATGTTAATAGTCCCACTCCAGCTTTTTTTTTTTTAAATTGCACAGTAGTTTTGTTTTTGCAGCCCAGAGATTATTTTACCAACCGCCATTCTCCATTGTGTAAATATAAATTCAGAAGGCAGTCCCTGAGGAGGTGCTTAGTTTTAACATTACTTCTCAGGCAAATTAATTATTGCCAGTGATTAAGTAAGGCTGGTTGTTAGGAATTTTACTCAGGCATTCAGAGTCTCTCATGAAAGTCAGATGGATTTTTTTTTCAATTTTGTGAATTTCCCAATGATTGAGTTAGCATGTCTAGGAGCAAGATATTCAAGTCCATGTGCATCTGAGGTCTCTCAGCAACTCCAAACAGTGTTGCTAAGCCACTAGGTTGTTTCAGATGACCTTTTAAATCAAATGCCATTTGCTTATTATGTGGCTGTTGGGTAGCTTTTTGTTTTGCAAATAGTGGAGAGTTTCCTATCTGAGTTGGGCCTGTCAAATTGGAACAATGATGAAGGCTGTTTGTTCACGTAAGAGAATTTGATGTCTGTGTGGTTTACATTAAATATTTATCTGGCAGTGAAGACAATTGCATGGGCAAGTGTCCCTTTTGTTTTTAATCAAACCATAAAAGGACAACTTTGAAAGAACTTTTCTTCAAGAATAATTTGACTTAGTTGCAATAAAAAATATTATTTATTAAAAAGAGAAATGTATGATAATGGACTTTGGAATTTTAAATTGTTTTTCAAGCATACATGTACTTAATATACTTAAATGTTTATTTCCTCATTTAATTTGCACATTTGACTAAAGTTACTCCAGTTAATATTCTGACTAAGCTTTTCAGAAATACCTTCATATCCATTTTCATGATTCACTTACCTCTTTGGTATTCAAATTTATTACACTTATAGAATATTATGATTATACTGCATGTATTTTTGTAATGTTTTATAGTGTTCACATATATTGTTTATATGGGTCAGGAATACATAAAACCAAAAACGGTGTCAAAGGTGACTGAGCCCTGCATGTGGTATGAGAAAGGCAGCCGGCAGCATGAAACTGTGATCATTCATGACAGTTACCAGTGTTCTACAAACCCATCCATCTACAGAGTCATGCTGTCCTTCCCCTAAATCCTAGAAATTGACAAGCTGATCTTAAAACTCATGTGGAGCTAAAACTATCTTAAAAAGGAAGAACAAATTTGAAGAACTTCAACTTCTGGATTGAAACATCCCAGTTTAACAGTTGTGAATTGTGATTCTGGCATATCCTAAATGTAGATCAGTGGAAAAGAGTTGAGGGTCTACAAGTTAACTCTTGTATGTATGGTCAATTGATTTCCAATGGGAGTGCCAAGACAATTCACTGAAAGAAGAATATTTTTTGCTAACAAATGATATTCTGAAAACTGGACATCTAACATAAAAGAATGGAGGTTGGATCCTTTTCTCAGATTGTACCAAAACATTCACTCAGAATAGATCAAAGGCCAAAATAGAGGATCTAAAACTCTTAGAAGAAAATTTAGGAATAAATATTCATGACCAGATAAATAGGAATAAATATTCATGGCAGTAGTTTCTTATATACAATACCAAAACATAAATAACAAAATAAAAAGTATATAAATTGGACTTCATCAAAATGAAAAAAATTGAGCCATGTGCTGTTGGTTTATATCTATAATCCTAGCTACTTAGGAGGCTGAGTTCTGAGAATTGGAGTTTAGAAACCAGCCAGAATAGACAAATCTGTGTGACTCTTATCTCCAATGAACCACAAACACACACAAAGCTAGAAATAGAGGTATAGCTTAAGTGGTACAGCACCAACCTTGAGTGAAAAAAGCCAAGCAAGAACACCAGACTCCGAGTTCAAGCCCCGGTACTAACACACACACACACACACACACACACACACACACACACACACACACACCAAAAGAAACTGTGTTGCAAATGTTACCATTAAGGTAATAAAACAGTCTAAAGGATGGGAGAAAATGTTTGTAAATAATATATTTAATAAATGCCTTGTGTACAGAACATAGAACAAACTTTTTTTTGTTAAAACAGGGACTATACGTAGTCTAGGCTAGCTTTGAACTAATGATGCTCCTACCTCAGCCTCTAGAATGATAGAATTACAGATATAGCCATGTACCACCATTTTCAGATATAATGAACTCTAAGAACTCAAAAATAAGATGTATTACCCAGTTATTCTTATCTCCAATTAACCACTAGAAAATTAGGTATGGAACTGTGGCTCAAAGTGGTAGAGCACTAGTGAGATAATATAAAATAGTGCAGCCACTTTGGAAAGCAGTCTAGCAGTTCATTAAAAAGTCCAAATATCCTAGAAATTGAACTTCCAGATATACCCAGGAGGAATGAAAATACATACCAGCACAAAAGCTTGTATTAAGTTTACAATGCCAAAAAGAAGAAACAGTACAAATGTGATCATCTAATGAAGATACATAAAATATTACATGTGCATAGAATTGAATATTATTTGTCAAAAACTGATATGATGATTCATGCATGCGACATGATATAACTTGAAAGGTGAAAGAAAACGTCACAAAGTATTATCACTTTTTTTTAGTTCAATTGATATGATATATTCAGCAAATGAATACAAGGGCCTACAGAGATAGAAAGTGGATTAGTGGCTGTGTGGGGCTGAGTGATGGGGAATAGGGGTGACTGCTGATGAGCTCGAAACTCCTTTTGGGGTGATTGAAAATGTTCTAGATTGATTGTGGTAATGGTTACACAACTCTCAAGAATCTTTTTTTTTTTTAATTACATGGCTTTATTCTCCCTTTCACATTTTTTTTTGGGGGTCCGGTCGTGGGCCTGAGTGCTGTCCCTCAGCTCTTCAGCTCAAGGCTAGCACTCTACCACTTGAGCCACAACGCCACTTCCAGCTTTTTTCTTTTTGCTTATGTGGTGCTGAGGAATCGAACCCAGGGCCTCATGCATGCAAGGCAAGCGCTCTACCACTGAGCCACCTTCCCAGCCCTTCCATAAGAATCTTTGAGCTGCATATTTGAAATAGGTGAATTTTGTGGTTAAACTGTATGTCAATAAAGCTGTTAAAATGTTAAGGATAGAGTCTGTGTTCATGTTTTTCTCTCAGCTGAACAACCTGACTGAGAAAAAAATACTGATCAGTGTATTTCTACTACTGAACCTGTTTCTATCACATCTGCTTTATGTGAACTCATGAAGACTAATAACCTAGTAGCATTAAAAAAGTGAAGCTAATGTAAAGATCTTTTGAGAAATGTCCAATTTTCTGATCAGTTTCTGGGGACTTTGTTTAGTATGTCTATCCTATTTCCCCAAGTACTATACTGTATTGAACACATAATGCAGGTTAATGCCTCTCCCTCTCTCTTTTTCCCTCTCCCTGTCTCTCCTTTCCCTTGCCATTCCTCCAGCTAAGAGATAATTCATATTATTTTAAAATACAGATATATTTTTCTTTGATGATTAGGTCCTAGGAAACCAGCATTAATCGAGAGACTCCTTCCTATGTAGCCAGCTCTTGTGTTTACTAAAACTTCCACACGAACCATCCAGTTTCATCCTTACAGTCTTATAAAGAAAATGTTGTTATTTCTGTTTTAAGGATGAGGAAACCGAGTCAGGCAACCTGCACCACACAGATTTTGGAATGACGAAGCTGGGATTGGACTTTGGCTCCCAAGTCCCTAGACAGTCAGTCTAGGCTGACTCATGGGAGAACAAACTCAAGTCTTCTTTGCCCTCCCCCCACCGCTGTAACGCTATAGCACACAGCACTGTTTAGATCACGAATAGGATCCCGAGATCGAATCCTCCAGGGTGTAAGTTGGTAACTGTACGTGTGACTAGGCAGTAGGCTTCTCTTATGTTTGTTTGTTTTTCTTCTTTCCCCCCACTTGCAGCAATGGCAACCTGGACCCCTGGTCCGGAGGTGGAGTAACCAAAAACATCTCAGACACCCTGGTCGCCATCTTCATCAAGGACGCGGCCCATCACCTGGACCTCCGCGCCAACCACGCCCAGGACCCCGAGTCGGTGCTGCAGGCCCGCCTGTGGGAGGTGAGCTACATGAAGCAGTGGATCCGGGAGTTCCACAGAGCCGCCAGAAGGCAGCGCTGAGCCGCTGCGGACCGGCCCCACCGGCCCCTGCCACCCTGCCGCTCCACCCGCGTTCCACGGCGCCTGGGCTTTCCGCACGTGGTGGTTCTTTCCCCGGCCTCTGCCATTAGATTCAGTGGGGGCAGAGGCTGAGCCAGGCGGGAGCCGCCATCCGTCCTGGCGCCACCTGCAGGAAGACCGCGTCATGACGGCTCCCGTTCCCATCCGTGGACCTCAGAACTGGAACAGAGTTGGCCACCGCCTTTCTTCCCAGGGAGAGTCGCTCCCTTAGTCTCTCTACAGGCAGGGACTTTTAATTCTCCTTGGTTTTGAGGCCGAAGTCTTTCCTTCCAGCCTCTTCCTAAGCCCCCCCCATCCCCCCATTCCTCTTCTACCCAAAGAAGATGGCTGAAGATGATGTAAACGCAGCTGGTAGGAAGCATGTCCCATGCCAAGCCAGGAAATGGGGGCCATTCCTTTTGTACTTGATAGAATGACTTTGGACTGTGCTGTAAATAAAGAATAAGGCTGGGCCGTCTACCTGTGTGTGGCTTCTGAAGCTCACTCCAGCTGTTGGGAATGAAATGTGCCCTGGGACTTGGCAGCTTTTGGGGAAAAAATAAATCCTTTAATTTTTTTCTCCCTTACTTGGCAGCTATTTCTTAGTTCTGGGATATTTGCCACTGTGGTCCTGCCTCTGAGAAATCTGGTCCTTTCCTGCACCATTTCTCTTTGTTTCTGAGGTCAGGTTTGTGGCAATTGGGTTAAATTCTGCCAGTTTTCAGAAAACTGACCCTGTTTTGCTTTTCACTTTAAATCTGAACAAGTTTCTACGCTGTGGTCTCCAATGACACTTCAGCAAGAAGCTTTTTTAAAATGGACAGATCAGCTATTCAGAAACTAGAATGGGTTATATTCAGCTTTTTTTTTAAATAGAAGTTTTTATTTTCTGGTGGTTGTTCCTGCTGCCATTAAAGCCAGAAGTGTCAGGACACTGAGAGGCAGGTGCACAGGGACTTTTCTGTATGGCTTCCAAACGACAAGCTGACTAATTCATGCAGGCAGCATATTTGACATTAATAAATGGCTGAGCCGTTCCTATTTCCAAGGGGTTGGCTTCTTTCAAGCAGTTCTTACACTGAGACCTTTCTTCAGAAGAGCTTTTCTAAGATAACAAATAGGATTGGATCAAAACCTTTCAGGGACACAGAGAAAGACTAACAGTTTTTACTCTGTTGAAAGATTTCTTCCTCCTCACTTCTTTTTATTTTCTCCCAGATTTGCATAGTTTTCTTTGCCTCTCCTTGGGAACATTTCCTGCTTAAAAAAATTATACCCTAAGCTCAGTCATTTCAACAGCATTAAAAAATTGTAGCAGATCATTCTCTATATCTGTATTAGATACTGGGAACTTTCTCAGTAGGTGACTGAACTATTTCCTGTACTTTCCTGACACCCAGGTTAATACAGGAAAATCTCTATTTTATTATGGTTGCCTTCTGTTGTCATTGTAAAGAATTGTCCATCAAAGCATTTGGTCACTTCTCTCTCCCTCTCCCCCTCTCTCCCTCCCTCCATTTCTCTCTTTCCTTCCCTCCCTCCCTCCCTCTGTCCTTCTTTCCTTCCTTCCTTCCTCCTTTCCTTCCTTCCTTCCTTCCTTCCTCTTTCTTTCTCACTCTCTTTTTTGTGGCAGTACTGAGTCTTGAACTCGGGGTGAGAGCATTGTCTCTTAGCTTTATAGTTAAAGGCTAGCACTCTACCACTTGAACTACATGTCCACTTTCAGCTTTGTGCTGGTTCACTAGAGATAAAAGTCTGATTTTTCTCCCAGGACTGTCTTCAAATCATGATCCTCAGATCTCAGGCTCCTGAATAACTAGATAAAATAATTTTGAGTGCCCAATTTTGGTGACTGTTTTCATGGTCATGGATCAGACTACTGGGATGTGAATTTTTTTTTGCAGGTCCAGGCCCTGAACTTGGGGTCTGGGTGCTGTCCCTGGATTACAGGTGTGAGCCACTGGTGCCCAGCTAGGGATGTGAATTTAAGGGTCAAAATAATACTAGTTTTTGTTCTTTGTCAACTGAGAAGTTATATAATGCAGGGTTTCAGACCTTAATGGAAGACATTCTTACTGTTTTTCTAAAAGCCCTTTTAGATATCATCCTTAACTGATATTAGTCTAATTATAAATTCTGAAAGTTAATCTTAAATGGAAAAATAATTGGTACCTCAAGTAAACCTTATTAAAAGTTTACTGCAGAGCATGGTGGCATGCATCTATTGTCCAAGGTATTCGGGAGACTGAGGGAGGGGAGTAGCTTATATCCAGAGCCCAAAGCTAGCTTGGGCAACACAGTAAGACTCAGGGGAAAAAAGCTTACTTAAGGCATCCTTTTAATTAATAGAAGATGCCTGGCCATTAACATACAGGTTAACAGATGAGTTGATAAGGCATCCTTTTAATTAATAGAAGATGCCTTCAACAGACAAGTTAACAGACAAGTTGAAGGTATCATTGCTTCTAAGTAAAATGCCTAACTGGAGTGTTATCTATTTTCTGTTTTTGCTACTTTAACTTCCTAGAGACAATGCATAGAACTGGAGAAATTTAGTGAATGTCCTTAGGAGATCTGTAAAGCCCAGATCTTTGGCTTCCAAAGAAGCCAGTGTCCTGATTAGCAGATTAGAAGAGGCCACAGACATTCATTCCAGCATCACCATTTAGTGGGCAATAGAGGTCATGGCATGCTGTTCCAGAGAGAAGCAATTCATCCACAGTCCCATAGCTCATTCCTGGCTGAACTGGGGCTTGACTTCAGACTGTGATTCATTTTACTGGTGTAACAATCTTGGTTTGGATTCAACCAACAAAATATCACAAGAGCAAAAGGGAATTTATTCCAACCATGCAAGAATGACCTCAAGACCTGTATTCATGTAAAAAGTCAGCAAATCAAAGTCGCTTAGTTCCATCTTTCACCAGAGCTAGTTCACTGGTTATCAGCCTGTGGATCTTAGCTGTTCCTCAGATGTTTATAGTGTGGCCAGTACACTGAAGTACATCTCAGGTTTACCTTAAGGGCTTCTAAAAACACTCACTGATTGCTGAGTCCTACCCCAGGGTTTCTAGTGTGTCTTGAAGTAGACCCAAGGAAGTCTAATTTCTAACCAGTTCCCAGGTGATACTGGAGGAGCTCACTTTGAGAACTTGTAAGGATGATGACTTTGAATTGCTTCAGACAGCATGCCCTTCAGTTTCCCTTACTCAGGACAACATCCTGCCTAATTCATGTGTGGGAGCCCTTCCCAAGCCTTCACTTTTTGTGAATTGCTCCATTCTCTCTGCTTCCTCTTCTTGCACAAGGTCCAGATGATTTCCTAGGGTGATGACTTCAATCCCTCACAAGTGCACAGTGCTCAGGTGGTTAGGAATTGGAAGGGAACAACAGTTTAGGCAGGTTGGTCTCACATGTTTATTCATCACACAGTATTTCTTGGAGCACAGGTATCTAAATAACATGCTGATAAACTTATACAGTAGAAAGAGCTATAGTTGAGCATGTTTGGAAAATGTTGGGATAAACCAAGCTAGTCATTTTGTTATTTGTTAATATGCATTGTGACTATACCAAGTGATAATCAAGAAGGTAATTCCTGCTGGGCACTGGTGCCTGATGCCTGCACCTAGCTACTAAGGAGTTTGAACCCTGAAGGAACATGGTTCAAAGATAGTCTGGCCAGAAAAATTTGTGAGACTCCATCTCCAAAATGTCATACTGGAGGTATGGCTCTAGTGGTAGAGAGCCAGCCACAGCAAGAAAGGATATTAGAAAACATTGCACCAGTGAGTAGAAGAGATTTTAGAGGGATAGAGGTGAAAAATGGATTTAGGAATGTAAAATACAAGTGATATTTGTCAAGTGGGTTCATGAAATGCCAGTAAGGTCAGAAGTTAGTAGATATTCCATAAAAGGAGCTACTATGCTGAAAAGTGAGTGAGACTGATTTAAGTTGTTATCCCACCAAATCACTCTTTTCTTTTTTCTTTTCTTTTTGGGTCCGGTCGTGAGGCCTGAACTCTGGGCCTGGGTGCTGTCCCTCAGCTCTTCAGCTCAAGGCTAGCACTCTACCACATGAGCCACAAAGCCACTTCCGGCTTTTTCCTTTTTGCTTATGTGGTGCTGAGGAATCGAACCCAGGGCCTCAGGCATGCAAGGCAAGCGCTCTACCACTGAGCCATCTTCCCAGCCCTCAAATCACTCATTTTTAATTGTTGTTTTCTACTGTTATTATAAAGGTGATATACAGAGGGAGTACAGTTAGGTAAGTCAGGTAATGAATTCATTTTGTTTTGAACAATGTCATACCTTCCCTCACTCCCTCACAGTTTTTTTCCTCTTATTCCACCCACAAGTTCATTTTCAACATAATGCCTAGCGGGTACCATCGCTGCATTTGTTCACACTTTGTCCCACCCTTTCTGTGCGTCCCCTTACTCTCCCAAAGACACAAATAGACAAACAAGAAGAAAAGAAAAACAACAATAAAATGTCTCTTCTTTCCATTTCCTGGAGTTCATTTAGATAACAATATTTTATATGATCAGAGTTGTTTTTAATATGCATATCATGAATCAACATCATGGTTGCAACATTTCTCCATCTTACTTGATCCAGATCCATTTTTTTCATGCCACACTTGAGGAACTTGAACTCTGTTGAATACCTACTGCAAAACACTGCCATGGAATTCTGTATAGTTTCTGAAGTTGAGGATCAAGAAAATTTGGATCTAAGCTTTCTAGTAGCTAACAAAGAGGAAACACTTCATAGTTCATTCTGTATACAAGATAAAAAACACAGCAATCAATGGAGAAGCCCAAACAAGAACTCCATGCAAGAGCCTCAGAGAAGGAGAAAGTGTGGAATAATGAATGAAATGTATGACACTAAGTTTCATTGTGTTTAGCCTTATAACACGCACACGTGACACTTATTCTATAACGAACCAATGAACTATACCACACACTTACACCTGATCATGCTTAATTTAGAATTAAATTTTACAGTGTCAGAAAGGATATCCTCAGACAAAACTTTGCTAGTTAAATGTTTCTTGGCTATTTTAAATGCCTTTATAGATTGTCTAAAATAGTGGTGGGAGTTTTACAACACAAATGAAGTAGTTTTAGTCAAATGAGGTCAGACACTGAGTAGACATTGCCGTACTTGACGCACAAGAGAACTAGGGAACAGATCCACAGCTCTCCGGCCACGTGAAGGAAGAGCTGTGAGACAAGGAGCAGGTATTTCCATCACACAGATGTCTTACCAAACTTCTATGGCTTCAGGGGAGCAGTTTAACTGCTTTACTTTGTTTTGTAGCTTCTAAATGTAGGGGCACAGAGCCAAATAAAAGGTATAGAAGGGTTGGGAAGGTAGCTCAGTGATAGAACACTTGCCTTGCATGCATGAGGCCCTGGGTTCGGCTCCTCAGCACCACATAAGCAAAAAAGAAAAAAAAGAAGTGGCGTT